ATGCCTCCTGTCATGGCTGCCATCACGTGATGGTGCAAAGCCTCTATAGACCTTTTTACTGATCCGWTGGCCATCTTGAATTATGGGAAGGAAGCCGAGGGGCAAACGTGGAAAATTTATAAATAATATAATATAATATAAATAATTCATCCAAARGCCACGTTTGCTATGGATGTTCGGATTTGTAAAAATACAATGACGTTTTTATGTTTTTCTCCTCTTTAGGAAAAACGGGTAAGTTGCAACCAAGGAGACTTATGTACTTCTGACTCTGAATGCGCCATGTGAAGGATATCATATGCTATGTGTCAAAAGCCCAGTCGATACCAATTATAAACTCTGTACTCCAGAATAACTATCGCACTGCAATCGCTATCAATGTACTGATAATTGCGAATATAATAATTGATATAATACATCATTTGTTGACGCCTTGGCTTGAGGCAGTTGTTTGAGCCCAGTGGGGTGTAGTATAGCTCTAAATTCTGCAATTAATAGTTTTCCTTCCTCCAGTTATTTCCATACATTTTGCGACAACTTTATATTCGCTTATTATATTTATTCATTTTTTCTTTCAAGGGGGTTTCTTTGAGGGTTGGTTAGTATGTACTTATTGACTAAGTTAGGTCGGGCCGTAAGGGAAAATATTTGGCTCAAGGTGATGCCGTACAAATGACCGAGAGCCAAATATTTTCTCGTACGGCCCGACCTAACTCAGTCAATAAGCAATTTATCATATGACCCCTACGAAAAGAAAAATAATAAAATAAGAGAAAGAAAATACGGTCGCAGGTTTCGAGCAGGGCCGTACGGATTCGCACGGCCCTGCTCGCTCAAAGCCGTACGGCTCTGCTCACGCTATTTTCCCGAAAGTTTTTCTAAGAGCGCGCGCCCGGGCAGATACGGGTCATATGATAATTAACAATTATTCGCCGAAGGCGAAGTGATTATCGGGGAATATTCCCCAATAATCACTGAGCCTGGGGCAAATAATTGTTTTAGTATAAATACACAGGTGATTCTTTCAAAAAAAAGAAAAAAAAGAAGATAAAAGGCATTTTTYCYGGTAACAGCAACAAAGCGGCTTGCCGCCATTTTGGATTTTCGCTCGAGGTGATTATCGTGTGATGGTGTGAGTTTCTTGACCAATCAGCGCGCGAGATTTTCTATAATCACCTGCGTATTTTTACTAATATCTTATATTTTACATGGGTCAGGTTCCGGTGAAACACCTTGTAGGGGGTTGATTAATCTTTGGTAAATTGTTTAAATAAAAGCATAAATTACGTAAATCAATATTAAGAGGAACTTTGTTTACACCTGTTCCAAAAACCTCGGCCACAAAAGACTTTGGTATTTTTTTCATTCTTTATCTATTCACAAGCGACGTTCTTAATCGTGATTGGTGTTTTTTTYGAGTTTTGTGGACCATTGAAAACTTTTGCTAAAGTAACGTAACGACTTTCGAAGGTTTTCGTCTTTCAGTTTTTGAACGACATGGGGGACAAGATGAACTCAAATAAATCCCGTACTCCCGGCCTCTAGAGATAATTTTAATTTTTCGAGGTACTTGCATTCTGGGACTATTATGATATCCTGGGAATCTACTCTTACACGCAAAGTATGCCAACATAATATTGCTACTACCGCTCCTCCAACTTAATTGGACCAGGAAGGACTACCCCTCCTCTGCTCTTCTGAAATGGGGCTGGGGGCGTTTTATAGATATGATCTGATGTCTCCGGCAAAAAATCGACCACYTCTGGCCGGTTACCGCAATGTTACCATCTCGATGTCCCCGCAGACTCCTACTTTTGAACCCATTGGGAAAATGAAGRCCTGGGCAACAAAGAATAAGTTGGAGTGACAGCGTGATCAGGGACCTTGAAGGAAGGATCTTCTATATATCTCCTTCAGAAAAGCGACTGCCAATGACAGAAAAGGCTAGTGTGGTCAAAGCTTGTAAAGGCGCTACTCACTGTGGCAAATGGCCATGCTTGACAGCATAAGGAGAAGAAGACGGACTTTCTTACGAGCGCATGCAGGTCCCCAAATTCATATCTCAGTATTTCCTTCAAACACATGCACTCAAATCAAGTTTTTTTATTGAACGAAAAACATGAAAACCGAACTTGAAATGCCAACATCGTCTTGTATGTTTGATCGTGTATAAATGTCCACCAAACCTTACGTTTACTGCAGCAGTGATAACTCATCTTGGCGCGTGGTACGTACTGCACGCAATCTGACTMAAGCACAACACACGTGACAATGAGGCCCTCCAATAAAGCATTTTCCTAATAAAGCACTATTCAGAACTGTTTCCGCAATCTAATTCAGTAATAAAATTCATTTACTGAAATCCGTAAACCTACACTTAACTCGACGCCATGCAGCTAAGAAAGTGTTTTAAGTTCTAGCTTGTTAATGTGAATAGCTTGTTTAGCCKCGGTACTGCGGCTTTTCTTACCCCAAAACCCCGTTTCCGTCGCTGCAGAAATATTTTCAATAACATCTGAGCATTATTGAAAATAACGCTAGTGTACTTTACAAATAAGAAGTCAATATCACGCTTAAGATATCACGTCGGTTTGAATAATTTTTAGTGATCTAAGAAAGTAAAATCGAATGGAAATAGCGGAGACGTGATGTTGTCATCATTTTKAACTTGAAAATTCTTGAGTGTTCTCTTCTGTGTCAATCTACTTGACAGTTTTCCATCAAAATTCCTTCTTTTTTGGYATTAAGGCACTTCATTCATAAACAAGCAGACTTTTATTCAATTTTGYTATTGTCCCCTCCACTTAGGATTCTTGTTAACGGTTCGCGTGTCGAATTCTTATTGACACTGGGAAATCTTCATTTGAAAATTWTAACAAGCATGCTACTCTTCTCGGCAAATCAGAGCAAGATATCCTCTCTTTAAAGTAAATTAACTTCGCGTAGAATTAACTCCAGAATCATGTACTTCCTTAATTTTCTGAGACTGACTCCTCTTTCGTCAACAATTTCTCTTTCAATGTTTTCACACACAGCTTGTCGACGATGACACTTTTGTAAAAACTGTGTTCTAGTTTCTCYATCGTCTATTATGCTTGTATTTTCTACTTCTTGGCTCTTCTCATCGTGTGCTTCATTWGCGAGAGCGCTGCTTTTCAATTCTTTAAAACTCTCAGTATCTTCATCATCTTCGACTGATAATCTTTGGTACATATTTCGACCGCGTTTACACTTCCACGCCATTTTCCTTTTCGGTTGCTTAGCTACTGCTTCAACGCGTACCTTAAAGACTTGGCGTCTGATTCAACGGTTTTTCAGGCTTGCCTTTTCTTTCCTGAGTAAAGATAACTAAGTTGTTTGAGCTGAAAATAGGACAGAGAAATCTCATTAGCCTAAGCTATTGATAAATTAGATGAATTTGGTCAGTTTGATGATTGAAATGAGCAGCTTTGCAAACATTATCGGCTTTGCTCGGAACGGAAGCAATATAGAAGTTGTCTTTTTGTTTGGCATGTTCGATTTTTACCGATTAAAAAGTCTATTATTCCTAAATAGCTCTTAATGGAAACTAAAAGAGGGCTTGGTATATATTTTACCAGTCAGAGATCTAGTCAACTAATAATCTCCAGAGAATATTTACTTATAGTCTTCTTTTCTCAAAAGACAATAATGCGATTTTCTTCGAATRTGAATCACAAAAGAGACACTCAGGAATGAGAGCTTTAGAGTCAAGTCAATCCAATCTGTTTTGATTCATTTATAGCTGCCATCTATGCTAATTAAGATGCGTTTGTTTGCGTGTGGAAATGGTATAGGCAATATAGCTGCCCTTTAGATACCGTGTGCAACAATCTCATGCACGCCACGCATACTCTCTCTCTCTTCCTTTTTTTCTTTTTGTCCTCAGTTTTTTTCCTTTCGGCCTCGTGTTTTCGAGTTTTTGTTTCCGTAGTTTTTAGTTTGCAATGTTAAAATGAAACAAGACTTCTGATGCAACACCATGCACATGCTTACCATGGTGATACCTGCTGACTTTGTTAAAACGCAGACTCACCCATCAGTCATAATCCTAATAAGCAAGCCACGATAACGATTGGCTTATTCATAGCAATTATTTGCGCACATCTTATTCTGGAAAGAAAAGCAGCTGACAGTTGCCGACAGCAGCATGACTGAAAGTCTTTGAGCTCTGCCGCGTTGTTTGCATTCTCAACTCATCGGCGCTTAACAAAAAAGAGTAATAAAGCTAATAATTTAAGAGAGAAAAGATCGGATGAAAAGCAAAAAAAAAAAAAAACTTATTTAGCTAAGAGTTCAAGTAATTCCAGGTTCACTGAGAAGGGCCAGTCTAACCACAGCACTGAAACTTAAAAATCCCATCAAACGGATTAGTGTCTTTCATATCAGTTGCTCTGCCATATTGCTCAGGCTCACAAAACTCTTCAATAAACATGAGCACATAGTACCCGCGAAAATTATGATAGAATAACAGGTCCAAAAACATGTTCGTTAATATTTACTCTTGTCTTGGTCAGGCCTTCAGTTACTGAACTTGTCAAGGAGTATATGCGCCGACCAGTTAGCTACTACGTTTTATCAATCATTTGAAAAATAACTAGCGAAAAAAAAAAAAAAAATGCTTTGATGAAGGAGATAAATTTCAACCATTGATTATAATCAACTTGATCTTCGGGTTAAAGCTGTATTTATTACAGGAGTAAAAAAGGGCTGTTAGAACTGTGTGGCGACTTCAACTKACACTGAAACAGCGTGTCAGCATTTTCATTGCAAAAACACCGAGGCTGAAAAAGCAAGAAACCGTTCTTTTCAAAATCTTGGCAAGCGGAGAGTCTTGAACGTTGGGTCGTTGCATTATTATGCTCGGTTTTTGCGTCATATTTTTCAAGGTCTTGAAAGACAAATTGAGAACTTCTGCGCGCTAGAAGGCACAATATTTCTCGACACAATGCAAAAGACATTTAATACAAAAAATGACATTAAGCTCATTAAAATACATTTATATAACTTGCAATAGAAGCTTCATCTTTAGCGGGTACAGAGTGATGTCTCAAAGGTAACATCTTGAGATCTATTCATAGCGCTACAATCAGTCTTTTTCCTTTTCCTATGACAAACAATGTGGCTTACGTGCCGTGAATGCGATTACCGTGATRGAAATAGAATTGTATAAAATATAAACTAGTTTGGCACTCTAAACACAGAACAACGATCGCTTCGTTTACAAAACAATCTTAAAGATATTCAACGTGATGAGTAAAGTTTAAGGAATTGGCTCTCAAAAAGGCTTACTCGCGCGGTCCCTTTGACGATCTTAACACTAGCTTCTAAAGGCAAAAAACRCAAATTATACTATAAAATTCACGTCAGATAAGGTCAAGAATATTCCGAACTTCTGCACATATTTACCACAACAATTCTGAGACTTTTTCCTCATATTGCCAAACGTCAACCAGTCATTTTTCAAGTCATCTCGTAAGATAAATATTTGCTCGAAAAACGCTTTCCTATATGGATATTACTTTGAGGTCAGTCTCATCGGAACATGTCTGTTCTACTTACCTTTAAATATCGTAATAGTTTTGTTTCCAAGTGTTGGTATATCGTAGTTCACTTGACTTCGATGTTAACTGAATACTTTTAGATTATGATCGTTGATATATTTAAGAGCTAACCAGAGGAGAGTTAGTCAGCCTTCTAGGCAAATGCTAACACCAGCTGAAGTCAGATCACTAACGAGTCCAAAGCGGCATTACGTTACATTCTTTGACAATTTTGGGTGGGATGTTGGTGCGTGACATATTCACCTTCAAATAATTATAATTTATAAAAAGCCTTATGACAATATTAATGCTTAAGAAATCCGTATTAAAATATATTTAAAGGCTTTTAGCTTTAGGGCATGAGTATTTCCGTAGAATTGTGGCTAAAAATGTTCTATGTTGACCTGATTGTTGAATATATTTTTATTGGCAACGTTTTTTTGTTTTTTTTTGTTTTCATTTAACTGCTTGGCTCATTTATTTTCGCCAAATTATTATCTTTTTTAAAGACATTTGCCACGACTTTTTGTCATTTTTCATTGATGCTGGTAAAACACTTCCGTCTACACTGCACAATAAAAATAATTAATCTTAGTATATCCTTCATTCAATATATATCTTGATTTTAAATTCATCATGTTTTCCTGGTTTTCTCCCAGCTTGATTCTACTTTGTTTCAGCCAAATTTAAAATTTACTTCAAAATATWTGCCGCTTTATTTCTTCATATTTTCCATTTGCACGAATGAGATCATAAGACTCGCTCGAGGCAGTACTGGTTGTCAAAACCATCCACTTTTTTTTTCTCGCATCTTTTTATTCAAAAGGAAAACCCAAGTGTCTCTAAGCATTGCTATGGTTTTCGCAGCAATTCAATTTTTCCATTCCGAACGAAACTATACGAGTTTACATTGATGATATYATTTGAAATAATAAGTCGGGTTTTTTTTCTTTTCTAGAACGAATCATGACGCCGGAATTATTTGAAGTCGGATGGTGTGCATATTTTTTAAAATACCTGTTTTGCTATTCTCTTTTAATAACAATGACGGATAGTACGTAGTGCATTGCAGGTTCATCCTAATCCATAGACGCAGTCAAATGATAAAACCTTTTAGCTATATTTATAATAATGCATCACGATAACTGAAATTACGTGAGTTATATGCTGCCAAGCTTGAGGCTAGAACATTTTCCCAATTCACCATTGTTCTACAGTCATAWCAACGTAATCAATAACGAGGATTTTGACAAAAAATGGCCGGTGATTGTCGCACAGAATATTGGCTCACAGTAATATCAAATGCTATATGATTCCAAAGTCTGATTGATAGTCGTTGATGAGCATATTATTCTTTATATATATTTATCTGTCAGAGTCAGCCTTTTGTCTATACTTTACATGCTTCACCAAATTTCGTACTTAGCCGCAATTAACCATTTCGCAGATGTGTGTGAGGATTATTCTGGACTGASCGTCTGCGGTTCAAATGAACTGTTGAAATGCGAAAGCTGTGTGGAGCCATGCAAATAAAATGATTACCAGGATAAAAAGAGCGGTTTAATAAAAAGGTTGCTTTTGCGGGGAATTTTCAATGGACTTTTGGTATTTCGTTTGAATC